CATAATACCTTTATTTTATTTATTTATGTGRTGCTGAGGAATCCAACCCAGTGTCCCATGCATGTGAGGCAAGTGCTGTACCACTAAGCCACAACCCCAGCCCTACATATGTATTCTTTTTTAAAAAATATTTTTTAGATGTTTATGGACCTTTATTTTATTCATTCATTTATATGTGGTACTGAGACTGGAACCCAGTGCCTCACACATGCTAGGTAAACGCTCTACCACTGAGCCCCAGCCCCAGCCCTAAATATGTATTCTTTACAATCTATTTTTATCTCTTTGTTCTTCACATCTGTCCTTCAAGGGAGGTGGCACAGCAGGCCCATCTTAGAGATGAGGACACAAGATGGCACCTCAGTGGTAGTGACATCTGGGTTAGATCCTAATCAAAGCAAGTGGTTCACTGCGGTGCCCATCACACCCTGTTCCTGTAAGGAGGGAGCRCAACCATTTAGAAACAATGAACTCTTGTTGTTCCTCTGAGTTTTTCTTTCAGCAGTTGAACCCCATCCCCAAATATATGGAAACTAGGAGAGGCTTCCTGATCTGTCCCAAGGACGTGGCCCTGCTTTTCTCCTCCACCTGCAGCTCTCCTTAGGCAGTTGGGGCACCCTTAATTCAGCCATTTCATCCACACTTGACTCTCCCCCATGTGAGGCAAGCATGATGAGGTTCCTGCAGGTTACCCTCCCAAGAGGAATCCCAGAGTCCCTGTCACTACCATTTGCCTCAGTAGGAAAGAACCAGAATCCTGGGCTGGAGTTAGTTGCTAATGGGCTCTACAGATTGACTGTCTTATCTTTGGTTTTAGAATCTCACCTGACAACCGTGTACAGTTCCCCTTTACACACCATTCTTCCTGTGGGTGGGTTTTGACCAACCTCTCTTATTTGCCTCTGATGTACCTTAGAGAACAGTTTCTAGACAGGTTCTTGGAACTTCAGAATAGATCTGGAAGGCTTAAAGAAAATCCTAGCTGGACATGATGGCCCCAGCCTTATATCCCAGTTACTCAGAGGTTGAGGCAGGAGGATCAAGGTCAGCCTCAGCAACTTAGTGAGGTCCTAAGCAATTTAGTGAGACCCTGTTTCAAAATAAAATATAAAAAGAGGTGAGCTGGCAATGTGGCTCAGTGGCAAAAGCATTCCTGGATTCAATCCCCAATACCACCCCTCCAAAAAAATTTTGAATACTGCTGGGATTCAGACAAAAATGACATGAAATGGTATTTCTAGTTAGGTTGATCCATCTGCATTTTGACTGGTTTCTACTGAGATGATTCTCTAAAATCAGTATAAAGTAAAGGTATTGAAAGAYTTTAGTAGTTAATTTAACTTTCTAACCTATAACCTTGTAGAGGGGGGAAAAACTATATATTATGAATTTCTGGAGAGGACCTTCATTCTAGGCATCCACACAGGAGTTTAAACAAAGCACAGGCATGAGAAGGACTGGGAGAGTTCTCTCTTTCTCCCACATCATCATGCATAGTTTTTTTTTTTTTTTTTTCTGATAGATGAGAGATCCTACTAATAGTAACTTGCCCCAAACTCTCCTGAATGTTAAAGTTGAATAAAAGTCTCCTGCTCGACAGCATCTGGGTAGAGAAAAAGGCCAGAAGAGCATCACTAGGTATGCACCATGGGTCTGCGCTCTGAAACAAGGGACAAACAGGAATGTGTCTGTTATGATCATGTGAGGCAGGTGCTGTGAGTGACTATGGKCCCTTCTCATTAGCCTTCACTAAGGCTGGGTGGCAGCCGGCGATCGCCTCTGTGTTGATGGAGTGTTTGTGCAGCTCAGGAGCCAGGCTCTGCCTCTCTCAACGAGCGTCTCATGATTCCTTTCTCTCTGGATCTCATGATGCTGTCCAGGAGGAGGTGCTGAAGTGATTAATGAGCAAGGCATAAAGACAACTGTGGCCCAAAGCAACAGCTGTGTCGCACCAGCCACTGAATAATTAGACAAGTGAGACAACATGGGGTCTCAATGGGTGGGGACTTGGGTGCAGAAAGCGCCAGTCTCCTCTCACTTGAATCAAGGTGTCAGGCCCTACTTGCTTCCACTTGGACTGTTCCTTTAGCTTTCTGTGTCCCATTCCTTCAGGTATGCCTCTTGGGAGTGACATAGTGACTGTCCCCTTTACCCTGAAAGCTGGGGGGGCTGGCTGTGCCTGTGAATAGCTGCCTGAACCTTCTATGTAGAACAGCGGGAGGGGCTGGGTAGAAACTGATGTTGCCAAAAACTTAATAATGTTTGTAACAAAAGCAAGGACCCCTGGCAAGAAATCCGAGGGCCATTCTTGATCCTAAGTGGTATCTCCTAAGCACTTTAATTACAGAGGATTAAGCAGGAAGTAGAGTGCTGGACTAAAGAAATAATGATACAAAAGAGGTGAAGCAGAAAAACCCAATTTTCTTCATTTAAGAGAGGAAAAAAAAATCTCCGTTTATTTAAATGAATTGCAAAGAAAATAATAGAGTAGGGCACGTCTCCCAGCCCCAAGTTCAGTGGAGTTTTAAAGAACTGTGTATCTCTGGCCAGACCCGAGGCCGAGACCTTCTGCCCATCTGTAGAAAATGAACCACAGGCTTGGAGCTTCATTAAGATGCAGGAGCGCTCCTCTTGGACAAATGGCTCACTAATTCAGCCCCTTCTCTCCTGCTTCTCCTCCTGGGCTCCTGCCTGGCTTTGCTCGTATTTTACAYTCAGCACCTAGATATGGCATGCAAAATTGTGAAATAGAAAAGCAGTGGGCCATGTGGCTCCATCAGTTCTGCCTGGTTTCACAACATCCATGACCTCTGYTGTTCAGAGCTGGGCAAGAGGAGTTGCCTACAGAGGCCCCAGTTACCTACCAAAAGTTGTAGTGAGAAAAGATGCTCATAGCACACCTGCTGTGTAACTGCGGCAAATCTACAGAAGGGAACTGAAATCAGACTATAATGACTCCTGGAAAATAAGGAAATTACCAGAATGGAATTCAGATAAATGCTGTGGTTATTATCCAATATGTAATGGTAGTGGGATTCAAGGGTGCTTTCCTAGGAATAGCCATATCAGTCTCGGTGCCTAATAATGAGTCCTGGCTGCAGTGATCCTCCATGGTGTCCTGCGTGTGACTCATGGTACCCAACATCCAGGGCGAGGAGTTTGTTTTCAGACATTATCATGAATACCATTATTGGGAAACCGTAAGATGTCATGATCCAGAGGGAGGCAAGTGAAGGTGGAGGAAGGAGGAACAAGAGTTCAACTCCCATGTGCTCAGAACTACGACTACGTTCAGCACCTCCCGTCAATCCATTGAATTCTCACACCTGTCCCACAAAACAGGCGTTGTTATTCCTGTCATATAGTTGAGAAAACTGAGGCTTTGAGAAGTTGACATGATGGAAGAAGGATGGGCTTTGGAGATGGATCAGAGCCCCACCTATCACCCACCATATTCAGTGATCTGGGGCAAACCATGTAACATCTGTTTTCTACTCTGTAAAATCCTGACAAGTCTGGATCTATGCACTGGATTATTGAGAGGATTCAATGAGATAATGTTGATAATAGCACAGTCCTGGCACACAATTGACCCTCAGAAAATGGCAGGTATTCTTCTACAATCTTGCAGAAACTAGAAGTGAACCCTAAGAGGTCAGCATTTTCCCAAATGGGCTTCTTCCACTGTAACACCTGACCTCCAGAGCCACAGTGAAAGACAACAATTAATTTATAAAGACAAATTTAGCTGGGGTATAGTGCTAGACCTGTGATGGCCCAGTGCTCTTGGGATTCTTTATGTTTCAGCCTTGTACACTGCAAATTAGTCCCCATGCTTCAGCAGACGAGCTGAGATGGACCTCACTCCATGTGCACAATATATATTATTCTCTGAACATTTCTATATGTTTTAGGTATTTTATTTAAAAATGTACAAACCCCCTTCCCAAAAATTGTATGATGGAGAATTCATCACACCTGGAAACTGATTATATATGAAGGAAAGAGTTTAGAAACAATCCTTGTTCATACCTTCATGATGTTCCAAATTATAATACTGAGATCATCTGTCTACATCTGTTACTCTAGGCATTACATGTCTTTGCATCCCTCATGAGTGGCACAGTGCCTGGCACATAGTAGTTACTCAAAKAAAATGGACTGAAATAGCAACTCAGTAACAAACAGCTGTTAAGGGAGCAAATTCCATTTCCCAGGCATGTCGCCTCCAGATCTGCTTGTGACTTCAGCTTCATTTCTGCATTTCCATGAGCACCACACTCAGCCATGAGATGGGGCTGGGTTGGTCAGGAGCACTAGAGATGCTCATGTTCAATGACTTGGAACATGGGTTAAAGGGCACCACTTCCTGTTTCCTACAGAGATGCGCTTTCATTCYCTGAAATGACAACTTCTCTGTACTCACTTAATGGGATTCCCAAATAACATGTTGCAAACCAATCTTTTATCACTGTTGCCCCCTTGGAACACATTTCAAATGCTGGCCATTTAAAAACAGGCCATTTCCCAGGCCTTTAATGATGACACTAATAACTGTGGATTTTTGTCTCCCAGAGTCCTGATGAGCCAAGCTGGGGAGTAAATTATAGAGCTAACTTTTATGTGCATGGTTTATTGATCTGTGAGCTTCAAGGGAACTACACGAGCCCCTATAGCTTGACAGTCCAGATTAGCTTTTCATCTATATAATTGGGCCACTAGGGCACAGTTAATTTTTAATTTATATTAATAGGAAGACAAAGAACAGGATGTGCCATCTCTGTATTAAAGTAATGGACATATCAAAATATTCTACCTGGTAATTATAAATAAATCAGCTTTCCCATGACCCAGTGAGGATTAAGTTGCTAATTCATTGTGCAGTTCATCATAATGTATCATGAAAAAGTTCAATGCTGTCATGAATATTTATATCACATGGGTATATAAGGATCCAGCTATTTTAATTCATGTTGCTTCCCATCTTCATTTCTTAATAGGTGAAAGTCATGCTTCGTATTTGTTCCACGTTGGCTCGTGATACCTCAGAATCCAGCTCTTTCTTAAAGGTAGACCCTCGGAAGAAGCAGATCACCTTGTATGATCCCCTGACTTGTGGAGGTCAAAATGCCTTCCAAAAGAGAAGCAACCAGGTCCCTCCTAAGATGTTTGCCTTTGATGCAGTTTTTCCACAAGATGCTTCACAAGTGAGTATACACCCCTCTGGGGATGGACACTCATTTACCAGAACCTGTAAGCTAAGAAGGTGTCATCCAGAATACCTGATAGACCATTTCCTCCACCCACTTAGTGACTTCTAGAAATCATTCTGAGCTCCCTTGAAGAGTTCATTCCTTCTGAGTTATTGGGTATCAATGTTTGACATACAGATGCAAGAAGATAACAGCAGGAATTAGAAGTTATAGGAACAAACACCCCAAGGAGCTGGTAACTGGTCCAGTAGGACTCTAATTCTGCCTGGGCTTCTAGGTATGGGCATGTAAGAAGGGAGAAAGTGTTCAAGGGAGCTGGGTTAAAATCAGGTAGTATCCTAGGACCCTACAATATCAAAATATCCATTGATATTGAAGGCAGGTCTGTAGTCTTAATAAGGAACTAGAGTGCTAGACAGGGAAACTGAGGCTAACATGCATCCTGCCACCTGGATCCRTGGAGTAGTGGGTAATGAAAGAGGCTCAGCGATAGCGGCTATGTCAATTCACTGATGCTGCATTTCAACCCACTATTCAGTGCTAAAACAACAAACATTTATTATGTTGTTCAGGACCATTTGGGCAATTCTGCAGCTAGCTTGACTCTCTTGTGATAAGCTGTGGGTTGGATAGGCAGCTCTGAGGATCTTGGCTGGATGCTATCACATGTTTGGGGTTGGCTGGCATTCGGCTGGTCTACAGTAGCCCTGGCAGGGTTAACAGGTCTCTCTTCCATGTTGTCTTTCATTGTCCAGCAGGCTAGCTTGGACTTGTTCTCATGGCAGTGTCCAGGTCTCAACTATGCAGGCCTCTTTAARGCCTGTGTCCACAATTGATGCAACATCATTTCTGTAGCCTCCTATTGGTCCAAATTAGTGGGATGGGGATGAGACTTCTCTTTACTGGATGAGCTGCAAAGTCACATTTCAAAGAGCATGCACACAGGTTGAGATGGAGAACTGGGGCCATTTTTTGCAAAAATTTGGTGGTTGGGGTGGGGGGGTCATAAAGCTAAGATTTTTGGACCATAGGCAACCAAGGAATTGCAGACCCTATCAGATGGTGCAAATGAAGCTTCTAGTCAACATCTGTTCTTACTGGGATTATCTCCTGGAATGTGAATGTGGACCTCTAASTTGCACCCAAGAGTGACACTTTGAGGGACTGGGGGATTGGAAAGGTGACATGAGTGTGGGACTGACTACTTGCAGAAATCAATAAATAACCCAGGACTGGGATATAGCTTAGCTGGGGACTAGCACGTACAAGGCCCTGGGTTCAATCCCCAGTGCCAAAAATAAGTATACACACACGTACATACATACATAYCTACATCAACCAGGTTATTAAGTGTATGGTGGCCTACTTGCCTACACTGTGGCATCAAGACCTGTGTATCTTTCTGATAAATATTTAGTACTTTCCAAGATTTACACAACTCTGCATAGTATGGTAATAGCCTACTGCTGAACTGGAGAACAACATCAGTAGTTACAATTACAGCCTGTTAATTTCCTCTATAATTTGAGTATAGGAAGTAATGATGTTCACACATGTTCCTGTATTACACCATAAGCACATAGGGCACATTATAGGCTTTATCCGTTAAGAAGCTGAGCATGGGACTTTATCCGTTAAGAAGCTGAGCATGGGACTGGGATTGTGGTTCAGTGGTAGAGTGCTAGCCTAGCACATGCAAGGCCCTGGGTTCAATCCTCAGCACCACATAAAAAAAAAATTAAATAAAGGTATTGTGTCCAAATACAATTTAAATATATATATATATATATATATATATATATAGAGAGAGAGAGAGAGAGAGAGAGAGAGAGAGAAGCTAAGCATGTGGTTTTCCCAAAGAATGTTACCATAAGAAGACAAAGTACTTTATGAATGAGTTCTATGGTTTCTCTGTTTAAGTTCTGTGTTGTACCATCCAGTGGGCTCAGTAACTTGAACCGGACATTGGATCTAATAAATGATCTACAAATAATTTAATGAACAATAGCTAAAACTTTTCAGAAACAGATCTTGGTAAGATGTAAAATTCCAAAGGAAACCCTAAATTATGCATGGACTATTAATGATTTTAAATTTATTCCAGAAAAAAAGGAGTCATTTTTATCACTAGTCTTAGTTTAACACATTTTGCACTTGTTTTCCAAGCTCAATATGCTCAATAATGCAGTTTCATTCACTTTTAAGAGTATTTCAATTTGTTCAAATGTTTAATATTATTACATTTCTATATAAATTTGCAGTTTTCAAGAAGTCTCATATACATTAATCACTGACTCTCCCTTGAACTCTGTGGGGTAGGAAATGGAGGCTTTAACTGTTTTCACATTATAGACATGGAAACTGAGATCCAGAGAGTAGGTCACTTTTTGATGGCCCTTCTCCGAGCAGCCATCCTTCCTGGATTCTCCCCATTAACCTTTCCGTACTCTGCTCAGTATGGTGTGCCTTGTCCACCCATTTTATCCACCGTTTTCTAGCAGCATGTCCTTGGACAAGACACTATGTCTCTCTAGGCCTCAATGCACTCATTTGTCAAATGAGGACACAGATAAAATGTGATCATCAGATGAGATCATCAGGCTATTGTGATTCATGGAGTTGATACACAGAGCTAGGAACATAACAAGTGTTCAATTAATGATAGCTATTTTTACTATTATATCATCATTGTTAATGTTAGTATGCTGCTTGGTCATGGCCAGCTCAGCCCCTCAAAGTGAGCACTCCAAAACTCAAAACAGGCAAATGTGCAGTGCAGATCTTGCTCAGCTTCTTGCCTGGGAAGCAGCAACAACCCTGGTGACCCCAGACCATTATAAACTATTGATTGCTTTCTCCCAGTTTCAAAGGGTATCAGCTCCTGAAGTTAAGCAGTGACTATAGCATTGCCTGCTCCTCCTTGCCTTTGAGAACCATCCTTATTACCCTTAAATGGCTTTGGCAGTCACTAGCTGCACTCTGTTGGGACACATTCTGCTGGGTATAGCTTAGGGAAGTGTGGTAGGGAGGTTTCACACTAGTGGATGAATTGGAGGCTCTGGCAGACCGGGCCCTGCTCAAGAGATATATGCTTGGGAAGGCTGCCTGTATCTCTGGGTCCATGAAGAAAGGCAGCAAAGGGCTTCCAGGGGCCACTGTCAGCTCTTAACAATCATGAGGTGAACAAATTACTGACCAGTCTGGATGGACAGCCAGGAGGGAACTCTGTAAGAGACTGCCTACCACATTCTGTGTCTTATTAGGCTATTCTTGTATCTTTTTTGTCCCCTGGCCTCTGTGCATATGACAATTTGGTCCACACACAATCAGCATTCTCCCCAGTGACTTAAGAATCTAATAGCTTATTTTATGTACGGCTCCCAGCCCCCACCTCGCTTCATGTCCAAAATGCCAATGGCCACTGGGCAGTAATGTCCCCCTGCTCTACAGAGGCTCCTCTGGCAAATTCCATCAACATTCTGCTGCCTCTGTCTCAGGGTCTACCGCCAGGCTCTCATTGCCTCAGTCCTGGGGGTTGTGAACCATCCTGTGGTCCCCTCGGCAGCCCTGTCACACAGCCCCCTCAGCCCAGGAGGAACCCCAGGCAGAATTGCTGAGGYGACCACCCCAGAACAATTGACAATTGTTGGGAGTGTGGTTTTTCAATTTCAGTTTGGGAGAGAAAATTGATTTCCAAATACTTAGGTTCATTGTGTTGCTGAGACCTGGAGYTGAATAACGACATTCATAGCTGAGATTGCTGGTTTTCAGGTTCCTACTGGGAGGTACATTGCCCTGATGACCTCAGAGCCCCAGTGTTTGCTTGACTCTCAATGCTTCCATGAGCTCCGACTCCAGTCCCAAGATAGAAATAAGGGACACAGAGAATGATTTTGTCCTCCTGCTGCTGCAGAAACTTTAGATGCTAACCAGAAAGAGATTTCCCAGATCCCCAAGTTGGTCCAGAAACTTTACTGAATTCCTGTCATGCGTAGAGTGCTGTATTATTGGGTGTTAATGGGAAAATATAAAATCATCAAGTATCAAGTTCCTGTCTAAAGATTTAATAAACAAATTGGAGATGAGGCAGACATAGTCTAAAGAACACCCGTCTAACTCACTGACAAGTGGCAATTGATGTTGTACACAATGAATACACGCGTAGAGAAAGAAAGACAAGACTGGTTTTGAAAAGGGGAGAATGTAGATTGAAAAAGAGGAAAGAGATCAGGAGAGAGGGCAGGCCTAGATCATAAACCTCTTGATTGTATTCGAACTATAAATTTTCTCAAGTTCTTTGTCCTGAAATAGTATGTCATCTTTTTCTTTCTAATAACCTAGCCCATTTCATAAGAGTGTGTGCTGTCTGTGAAGGAAGGTTCTAATTATCCAAGGGCCAATGGAGAGTTAAAATGCCTTTTCCCAGAGGTAAGAATGGTAGACGAATGCAGGGAACAAGGTACATGGAAACATACTCCCACAGCTACCTGCACCTACCTGGTCCTGGGATCCTGCTGAAGGGCACCACCAAGGAGCAGCAGGCAGGCTTGCAATTAGCTCACATAATGCTCAGGCTTGCAAGATACAAAAAGGGTACCCAAGAGTTCTGAGACCCTCTCGAGCTCCGTGGCAGAGGCTGATCCATCTGGAGGAACCCCAGGCAGAGCTGGGACCGTAAGCTCCAGGAAGGTGGGCTCACTTTTACGTTGTTAATGGTGCCTCTACTGTATGATTCAATAATGGCTCATATCTCCTCTCGTGTCTGACAGGCTGAAGTGTGTGCTGGAACCGTGGCAGAGGTGATCCAGTCTGTGGTCAACGGGGCRGATGGCTGCGTGTTCTGTTTTGGCCATGCCAAGTTGGGTTAGTGAGAGCTTTTACCTTATGCTGCTCATTGGGTACCTCATTCTATGCTTGTGGATTAGTCCCATAGTCCCAGATAAAAGGAAAGGTCACATTTCTCTAAGGTGCTGAGAGAACAATTACTTCTGCCTTTGAAATGTAGGTACTTGTAAGTGGACACCCATTCCTGTAGGGCAGCTGTCAAGCTCAGGAAAGAAACAAGGGAATAGCAGTGGTCCAGGTCAGGGTCAAGCTAAGAAAGCAAGCACGAAAATGTACATTTCCTGAGTGGAGGCTCCTTGGGAAGCAGATGGACCCCCTGCTCCCCTGCCAAGATGATTGGTGTTGGTAGATGGAACCAATGGAACAGCCAGATTAACAACCTCTAAGCAAAGTCAGGTGTCATGTTAGGGTCTGTCTGGGAACATCAGACAAAGCCATCCTTGTTTCCCAGCAACCAGACACTATTAGGAATCCTCTTGTGCTGAAGCATTTGGGAAAGGATGCAGTGAGACATACCCCCAAGGGTTTTCATTGAATCCTTCCACTGTCCCTTCTTAATACTAACCCGTGGCCCTCTATCTGCTCTCTAGACCTTGCATTACATGCCTGATAAGTTAGTAATTTGGGGAGTCCCAAAAAAGTGTCCCTAGGCAGAGATTGCATCAGAGACCTTGCAGAAGGCTTGAAACTCAGTTCTTGGCCAGGACAGAAAGCCTATCGCATCTCTGCCACTTCTGTTTTCCCTGGACCTTCCTCTCATTTGATCTTGGATCAAAGCAGGACTCCAGGTTTTAATGGAATTTGCTCATGCTGTAAAAATATACACAGCATTTAACTTGAGAAAGGATGTAAAGTATACGTGGATTTGATCTGTGGGGTAGATGTAAAGTGAACCATAATAGTGATGAAATGTCCCTGCCTTCCCACTATATGTAAAACAATGCAGAAACTGGATAGCCTGTGATAAGTGTGATCCTCTTCAAGGTGCACTGTGATTTCATCTTGTCATTTGTTTGGGCTCTCACATTCTGTATTATAGCCATTTCGTTGCTAGTACTAGGAACTGCTTTTTTTTTTTTTTAATTTGTCATCCAATGCACACTATTTTTCTTGCCTTCTAATTCCCTTYCTTCCCTTCCACTCACTCCCCCATGCCTGCCTTCTGTATCCTTAGCATCTGTTTTTGAGACTCTGTAGCATGATGCCAACAATCAGCCTGCTCTTCTCCCTTTCCTTGCTCCCACAGGAAAATCCTATACCATGATCGGGAAGGACGATTCCATGCAGAACCTTGGCATCATTCCCTGTGCCATCTCTTGGCTCTTTAAGCTCATCAATGAACGGAAAGAAAAGACGGGAGCCCGTTTCTCTGTTCGAATCTCAGCCGTAGAGGTGTGGGGGAAAGAAGAGAACCTGCGGGACCTTCTATCTGAGGTGGCCACTGGCAGCCTGCAGGATGGCCAGTCCCCAGGCGTGTACCTCTGCGAAGACCCCATCTGTGGCACACAGGTGATTGCTTCTGGAAGTTTGGCTTGCCCTGAGGTGGCTCATCCCTACCTCAGAGGCTGGGGCAGTTGAGCCGTGAATCACTCACCATGTAAACTAGGAAGCTTACAAGTGTTTACTTTAAAGTGGACTGGAACTTTATGGCCTGCAGCTGTGGGGCCATCTGCTTACCCAACCTAAATATTTGTACCTTGAATCTAATTGACAATGAGCAGGAACCACAATTGTCGTAGCATTTGGGGGAAAATTGAATTCACTTTCTTTATGTTCCTTTCCAAAAAAGAAAAGTACAATCTTTCTTTTGTTTAACAACAAACCRAAATATTTACTGCTCTGCACAAATAGCTGCAGCCATTACTGGRGCTGTTTATGGCCCTATAAACTGTGTTTCTGGCACTGGTTTACAGCCGGATTAGCAGTGCTGTAGGAAAAACTAATAACCACTTTCTAATTAGAACCATGATATAATTGCTAGAATGAAGGAAACCAAGAGAAGATCCAGTTTGCCTTTTCAGGATGTCACGCCTTGTTATAAGGATCTCTCTCCTTGCTCTTTGACAATAGATGTAGGAATGACTCAGGAGCTCCCTAGTTCATATCCAGAACAATCACTTTGGCCTCCTGCAGTAGGCTTTGTTTTCAAGGTTTACCAGATGTCTCTCTCTTTCTTTCTCCCCGCTCCCTCTCCCACTATTTTTTTTTTTTAATTAGCTGAGGTGTTCCTTTTAATAAGTACCTGATTCATCCCAGCTGGGACTGTTTGCACAGGTGAAGGTGCCTGTGCCTCTGTTACACCCTTATACCCAAACTTGTCCATGCTCAATCTCTGCTTAAAATATCCTAGATCTTCCATTTCCTTTTTGAATCCTCTCAAGCCTACATCAGTCACCTGGAGGACTTTTTGAAACATAGATGCTCAGCTCCACCCCAGAGTTACTGACTCTGTAGGTCTGAGGTAGAACCACCTGAAAGCACATTTCTAACAAATTTATATGTGATGTTGCTGCTGCCTGTCCAGACACCACAYTTTGAGAACAACTATTCTGAGGCATAAAACATGCTCAGGTACTTGCTGGTCCCCATACAAGTCACACAAATGTGTCTTGATTGCCATCCATGGTTTTTTTGTTTTGTTTTGTTTGTTTTGTTGCAGTACAGGGGATGAAAGCCAGGGGTGCTCTATCAYAAAGTTWCATCCCCAGCATTTTTCTCTTTTACTTTGAGATAGGGTCTCACTAAGTTGCTCAGGCTGGCCTCAACCTTGCCATCCTCCTGCCTTGTCCTCCTGAGTAGCTGAGATAATAGGTGTGTGCCACCCCATCTGGCTCTGTTCACTTTTATGAGTCCATTGATGAAGGTCACTTAAGTGAAAGATCTGATTAACTGAAGGCAAACAAGATGAAGAGGCCAATATYCTCCTTATTTTAAATACATTCCCCTTGTGGAAAACATGTTTTTAATACTTCCGTTTACTTTTCTATGACAAGTACAAAACCACAAACAGACTACAAASTCTCTTTGAAGTTCAAGGATTTTGCTGACCTTAAGTTCCAAATATTGGCTTTCACACTTCAAAACTATAGGTATAGACTCAGAGTAGAAAATTGTCAGTATTTCTTCTAACCTTAAGATATACTGCAAATTAGTTCTTTGAACAAATCAGAAATAGGAGTTTCTTTTTCTCCCACAAAAAAAAGAGGAATGCTGATCAAAATCTGATAATAGGATTGTTCTGATTCAGGCTTACTATAATTGCCATGAGTTCTCATAGGATTTAGACACGTTGTACACTATGCTTTCTYTAATCGATTACTGATTATGCCACAAACATGAGTTCAGTAACTAAAGGTGAAATTAGATAGCTCTTGAATACAGATGAGACCTTCAAGTATCTTGGGTGTTTCAGCGTGCCTTTGATAAGTACTTCTTATTCATAACTATACTGGTAAGTGTGGCCTAAAATTAGCTTTCATTAAATAACTGAAAAAAATAGGCATCAACTGAAAGCTAACTAAGTTTTATACTTCCTTGGGACACCARTGCTTGTCAGACCTAAAATCACATTTTGCAAACTCCCTGTCTCCAAACAATCTAATCTCTGAGATCAACATGCAGTCACATCCCTCCTGTTTTCTTAGGTAAATGGATAGCCCTGGGTTATTGGTTTGCTGTCCTCTGCAGCGATAAGGATGGGTCATCTGCTCCCATTGATCACTCAGATACAGCCTTTGCTTTTCACACCTGCGACTTACAGATACTRCTTAGGGTGTAAAATAGGTAAAAACAAGTTGCATCCACTAAGTGTGCTCAATATTAATTTGCAGAAATAAATTAATTAAACTGAGAATTGCACAAGAATACCAGGCCTAGTTCCAGAATGACTTTTGACCTTCCAGAGGCATGTGGCTTTACTAGGCACAGTGGACAGCAACTGAATGGAGCAGTTAACACCCAGGCATGAGTGACAGGCAAGCCCTCCATCGGCTTGCAGCCCCAGCTCTTGGCTTTGTGTCTTCTAGCTGCAGAACCAGAGTGAGCTGAGGGCCCCSACTGCAGAGAAGGCGGCTTTCTTCCTGGACGCTGCCATTGCTTCCCGTCGGAGCAATCAGCAGGACTGCGATGAAGATGACCACCGCAACTCCCACATGCTCTTCACCCTGCACATCTACCAGTACCGGATGGAGAAGAGCGGGAAAGGCGGAAGTAAGTGCCTGTCTCCCTCCCGCACCTCCTCATCAGCTCTCACACCAGCAGACCCCTTCCTCCAGGGCCATCGTGACCTTTTCTTTTTTTTTTTTTTTAATTAAAAAAAAATTTTTAGTTGTAGATGGACACAGTACCTTTATTCTATTTATTTATTTTTATATATGGTGCTGAGGATCAAACCCAGTGCCTCACTGTGCTAGGCAAGCACTCTACCACTGAGCCACAACCCCAGCCCCCATGACCTTTTCTTAATAGAATGACACCAACRTGGAGTGATTTGTAATTCAGGATAATTGTAGAGTCTGGGCTGAAGTTCACTTTTGAATTGTCCAGGGGCAAAAAGGTTTGCTTTRATAAAGATAATTTACCAATGTGATTGCCATGGGCATGTAAAAGAAGAAACTTAAACACAACAACTGCTTGCTGAATAGTATCTTTCTGTTTATAAAACTGAAGGTGCTCATCACAAAAGGCCAACATTTGGCCACCAGCACACCCTGGCAATATGCCATTCATTGTTAACTTGAGTCTACTCCATGGATTTAAATAGTCTGTAAATCAGACTTTGGAATAACTAACCAGACAGTGGTTGCCTCCCTCAGGCAGGATCCCATCAGTAACGTTTCATTGTAAAAACACAGCTATTCTGCTAGGACCCAATGCTGTGGTTCCCAGTCCCTTCATGGCTACTTTGTCAAAGCTGGCACTTGGTCTTGGTGTATGTCTCCGTCCTTGCCCTTCAGTGGCATCTACTTGAAGCTCACCAGATTTGAGTGCCAGTGTTCAMATGAGTGTCATAGTGGAAGAAGGTGGGAGATCTTGGACCTCAGGCAAAGTGGTCCCTTGACCTCACTGGGTTTCCTAAAACAAGTTGTGGGTTGGGCATGGTGGTACACTCTTGTAATCCCAGTGACTGAGGAGTCTGAGGCAAGAGGATCACAAGTTCAAAGCTAGCTTCAGCCATTTAGCAGGGCCTTAAGAAACTTACTGAGACCCTGTCTCAAAATTAAAAAATAAAAAGAACTGGAGATGTAGCTCAGTGGAAAAGTACTCCTGGGTTAAATCTTCAGTACCCTCCCCCCCAAAAACAAACAAACAAAAACAAATTATGGGCCACGAGGCTTGGCCCAGCCAGATAGCGGTTTCCTTATCAGTCTACCACTGTAGAGTTTTCAAAATCCAGGCAACTGGCCCTTAGTGTTCCCTGATTGATTGTCCCAAGGACACTGGATGCCAGAAAAGCAAACAAACAAAAGAAACCTCTTAAATTCAGAAAATAATCCTAGCCTGGAAATTATAAATGCAATTGACTAAAACAGAGGCMATCAACACATCTATTCTAGATGAAGCCTGGAATTAAGGTATCCAACTGGGATCTGTGGAGAGGGTCCTTGATTCCTCCCTAGGTCTCCTTGTTGCCTGAAAGACATGAAAACCAGTAGTCCTGGAGATAGCTCTTAGGGGCCACTATTGCCCCCTCTCCCCCCATCTCAGTGTCTCCACTGACCCGTCCGTGTTCTGCCACTATTCCTACTCCTTGGCTCTTGTTCTTAAAATTCAGGTTTACTGAGGTATAATTTATATTTACTGAAACTTACCCTTTTTATGTGTCTTGAGTTGAGTTTTGGCAAATATGTAACCACAACCAGTACCAAAATACAAAAGAATGCCATGTCAGGTTCCCTCTTTCTCTTTGTAGTCAGCTCCTTGCCCCTGTCTCAGTCTCCTGGCAACCACTGACTTGGACTTTCATCTTTGTAGTTTGGTTTTTATCAATAATAGCATATGAATGGAATCATGTGACCCATAACGTGGCCTTTTGTGCCTGAGATACATCTGTGTTGCTGCATGARTCAGGTGATCACTTATCTTCCTTGCTGTCTGCTTCTTTAACTGGTTTAGAGATTTGTCCTCTGTACCCATCCCCAGGAATAAATGAAACTACCCTCACCCAGGGCTGGAGTTCCACTAACCAAGGTTACCCTTTATAGCTCTGAAAATCAACCTTGAGCTATTGCTGCYCAAGGGGTCCAGAGATATTGGCTCTGATTTGCAGTGCATTGGGCACCCCAGGAAGGTGGGCTGTTARCAGAAGACCAGACTTCTCTTGACAGCTCAGAAAGATGAGAAGGATTTGACTGGGACAGAGCAGAATATGCTGAGGGGGACTCTTTCAGGAAAGATGAGTTCAGTTTCAGAGCACTTAACATTTGTAAGGAAGGAAACAAGGGATTAGGAGAAGGGTAAGAAGATCTAGACCTTGAAAATCCACAAAATTGAATGCACGTTTCTCCTAACAATCTGGGAACTGGCTTTACATCCTGCCTTCACTGTTATTTCTGGTTAATGTCTTAGCAGAGTGAATGTGAGAGTCTGAAAAATGTTTATTTCTTCAAAGTAGCTGTCAAAAATAATAAAAATAATAATAGCCTGCTGTGGGTTCTTGTGTTTTCAGCAAAGAATATCTGAATCTCTTTGGGAGCCAATAGCTCCCAAATGCACCGAGCAGAAAATCCTAGAGGGTGGGACAACCCCCGCTCTTCTATGTTGCAAACCAAACTGGGGATGGGGGGATGGCTCTGTTTTCAGTTTTTCACTTTTTAATTTTTTTGTTCTGCTTTCAATTTGGAATCTGAGAGTAGGGKAAAATATTGTGAAACAATGAAACAGTTAAAATATCTCAAATGTAAAGGTCCTGAAATTCAGTTTCCACAAAGCTTTGGTGGAAGAAGTTTCCTAAATYGAAAGTGCCTCTCCAAATTGGTACCTAGCAAACCTAGGCATTTATTAAATATTTAACATGAAATTCATCTTCTTCCTATTTTTAAATTGTGAAAAGAATTGCTTTTAAATAATAAATTCAGGTTAAAGGAAAAGGCAAATACCATTAATGGCTTCCAAAAACCTCTTTTAGGTTTTTTCTAACGTTGCAATAGAGGAGAATAGAGAAGGGGCAAGAGTCCAGGCTGCTGGGGGTTATGCCTCAGAAGAATCTGGGGGACACCTCCTACCTGCTAGAGCACCCTCCAGAGGGAAGGGATCTGGGCCACAAAACCCACAGCCTCTCGGCCCACAGCTCGCTCAATTTTATTAAATATGCACGTTTAAAATATAATGAAAAGATTTGAAGTGTTGTTTAAAATGGAAATTTTGTTTACTTATATATAAGCAATAATCCCTGTGGACTTGGCAGGCAAAACTCAATTAAGAGAAAGTTTATTAATTAGTCACCCTGCAGGGAAGCAGGAAGCAGAGCTCGCTCGCTGCTGCTATTAACCAGGCCGTTAGAATATCAGAGACCTGTGCTGCAAGAAAAGAAGACACCCTGTGATTATATGTACCTGAATCTTATACACATATAAGTAGAGAGACAAATGTTTTACACATTTCCAGTCAAGATCAAATGAACATTCTTTGTTGATGTATCACTGTTTTGCAGATAGCATTCTGCTAGACTCAAAACAGCTGCCTGGTTTACAAGGTTTGGGGAACATTGGTGAGGCTGATTCCTTTTTTTTTTTTTTAGAGAGAGAGAGAGAATTTTAATATTTATTTTTTAGTTTTTGGCCGACACAACTTCTTTGTTTGTATGTGGTGCTGAGGATCGAACCCAGGCCACAGGCATGCCAGGCGAGTGCGCTACCACATGAGCCACATCCCCAGCCTAAAGGCTGATTCTTTACCCATCATAGAGGTCTCGCCCTTCTAAATCTGTAATGGYTTGAAAGCCTCCTTGGAAATTTGCTTTGGTCAGCTTTTCAATGCTGTKACCAAAATACCTGACAAGAACAACTTAGAAGAGGGAAAGCGTGTTTGAGGCTCATGGTTTCAGAGGTCTCAGTTCATAGATGGTAAACTCCATTGCTTTGGGCCCAGGGTGAGATAGCATATCATGGGGAAGGGCCCAGAGGAGGAAAGCTGTCAGTTCATGGCAGTCTCAGGAAGCAGAGCAAGAGAAATGGGGAGGATCCATAAGGAAGATGAACCCTTCCAGGTGACTCTYCTTCTCAGTGACCCACCTCCTCCAGCCATGTCCCACCTACCTTAGTTACCACCCAGTCAGTCCATTCAAACTAGGATGAACTGAGTAGGTTACAACTCTCATAATCTGATCATTTCATCTCTGAATATTCCTGCATGGACACCGGAGCTTTGGGGGGACACCTCATACCCAAACCATAACAGAATTCAAGTATTGGGGAAGAGATCCCCTAATGATCAGACAGATCTCCTGTTAGTAATGGGTGTTAGGCATCTAAAGCAAGATAGTACTATAATGCTTCAGAGTAATATGTCAGTGAAACACAAGTTTACCTATTGTGTTGATAAAGATGGTCTTTAAAAGCATCACTTTAATGAGTAAACTAAGCTTGCAAGCAACTCCTGCCCAGCATCCAGAATGACATTAGGTATCTGATGTATTTTTATACTCTATTGCTCTGAGGAGGCCAATGTGGGCTGGGCTGGCTGTATGTGCACACGGAAAGGAGTGYAAGTGAATTTGGGTGTGTCTGTATCTCCACTTATCCATTTATAAGTCTGATCACACCATTTCTTTCATCTCAGTTTTCTTTTGACAAGGAGCCTCTCTTTCTTTATGTGTCATGGAATGGTTTGAATCAGCATGCCCTCTCCAGGGCTGTGTGTTTGATATGACTTTAAAGACATTATTTGGTCTTCAGATGGGGAAAAGGAGTCTAGGAAAGAATCTGGCTTCCAACAGGGTCGTTGCTGGGCGCCTGCTGTCCCGAGCAGCATAGCCCTGGGCAACAAGGCTATCCCTACACTGCAGGGCTGCCATCTCCCTCCTGGTCAATAGTGAGGTGATAGTTCTGTATGTTAAGATTTGTGTAATAGAATTTTATAAAACTTTCACTAGGAGACAATGTTCTGAACCACACGGCCTGGAATCCTCATGGCACCCTCTCGTGGCCTTCCCATCACACAGCAGTTCTGAATCTTCTAAGCCCCCTGTTCCTGCCCATCACTTTCAGTAG